TTGTCTTCAGGATGTCTCTCACATAAAACATTTTCCATTCATATTCTCGAAGTTCTTTCTACATGGCATAAAGTATTTCGATTGATTTTCATTTAATTAGAAAATATTTTTATCGTTAATTATCTAAATAATATTATTATTGTTTGTTGAAGTTTTTTTTTTTTCTTTCAATAGATTACATATTAACAATAACAAAAGAGAAAAAGATCACAAAAGATTTATTTATCACACACACACACACAGATATAACAAACAGTTTCAATATATATATATATATATATATATCCTTGTTGATATTTTTTATAATGAATATTTGTCAACATCTTGTATTTCAAATTTAACAATTGATTTAAGTAAAAAATCACATATTACATATTTAATATTTGGTACATTTATATGACAATATTTTTCTTTAATTTTATTTAAATTTTTTTCATTTGTATCACATAAAACAATTAATATATCAATAGAATTTTCATTATCATATAATTTAGCACCGGTTAATTCAATTAATTCAATTAATTCATTACGACTAATTGAACCTTGACATTGACGACATTCAATTGCAAAACCATAAATTAATGTTGATGATGAATTATTAAATAAATATTTATGATTATTTTGAAAATTTTGTACGGATAAACGTAATGTTGTATGAGAATCACTTGTAATTTCAAATGGATGTTCATCAATAATTTCATTTAAATGTATACATTCAGTTATCCAACGTGAAGATATTATAAATATATGACGACGTGCAGATGCTTGAACAATTTTTTTTGTTATTGTACAATGTAATAATTTTTCACTATCATCAATAAGTAAATGCGTTGTAAAATTATTAACATTTAAATTTGTTGCTAATTGAACTTGAGGAAATTGACGAAGAAATGTTAGAACAGTAGTCTAGAAATGAATTAGACATTGATTTTTTGTTAGAAAGAATCTTTTTCTTTTTTACCCATTGATGATCGAGAAGAGTTGTCGTAGAAATAACAATCTAAATAAGAAGAAAATAAATAAATTGAAAATAAAAATATTTATTATTCCTTTTATTACTTTATTTGCGGGAAATACAGAACGATTAATTGTTGTAGATGGTGAAGTTTGCGGTTCATACTTGCGTTTTTTTATTGAATGTTCAATTGATGTTGGCTGAGGTGAAGTAACAGTATTATTATGCTAGAACAAACAAAAAAAAAGAAACAGAGTTTTATCAAAGATTAAATCAGTATAGTGTGGACACCTATCTAATGACGAGCATGATCAATCGTTTTTGTGGTCCTGATTTTGCGCTTAAGTAATACATGTACTGGGACAAATGCGATATGATTTTCTAGTAGTGTCAATGCATTCAAGATATTTTGTATGATCTCTAAAATCTTTCCTCGTAGAGGTTCATTACATTTTTCAAATTGACTAACATTGTGAATATTCTGTACGTAGATTGGTTACGGTTCTGGCCGGATCGAAACTATCTTGCCCAAATCTATGCTTATCTTTATTTTATAGTCTAAATAAGCGTAAAACCGATAGTTTTCTGCTTTTGTAGATACAAAAAGCATTTTCAATGTTTTCTTCATTTAAAAATTCTATACGAGAGCACGAAAAAGCTTAACAGAATAAGAAATTACGTGTCGCACAAGCTTTTCCTTATTGATATCAGACTACGATGCATAATCAGAGGTCGAAAACGAACTGAAGTCGAACCGAACCGGATCTGAAGTCATTTTGAAACAAAAAAAGTTGAACACGGTTTAATGTCCAATGACAAAAAAGTAACTAAACTATCATTGATTTAGAGCAGTATAATGCCGTTAAGAAAGATAAAAACGAGCATTTATTGATTGTTTCACATGCTTAATTTAATATCTATCTATTGCTGTCTACTTTTTTTCTTAGTTTTAGGTAGACAAATTGTGTTTATGGTAACAGGTCACTTTTATGTGATATAATTCTTTGATTTTTCTTTTATAACTTTCTCTATTTTTCTAAAGTGCGATGAATAATCGTCCGTAGTGGTATGAGATTAGTATTAGCAGTAGAATATTTCTACTAATTCTCGTATATCAATGTTAACATATAATTTAATCTACAAATGTATTTAGCAGTGTTAAATGACACGAATATGAACTTCCATGTGATAATTTTGATCGTCTGAAAACTAAGTTTTGATTTTTGGTCCAGTCTTGATTAAATGGCAGTAGTACTATTCCACTTGAACCGCAGCCGAACTGAACCGGTTTTTGAAAAACCCATCCGAACCGAACCGAACTCGATCTAGAAAAACTCGGTTCAACTCGACCTCTAGTGCATAGTAATATAAAGGTCACAGATTGTATACATCGGAAAAGAAAGATAACTTTATTTTCAACTACGAAATGAAAGAAAGATAAAAACAAGATTGAGAAACTGATTTTCTCAATAGAAAGAGAAAAATAATCGATAGCAGAGTTCAACTCGGTTCGCTGCAAAGTCGAGTTTTGTTTTGGTTTCAAAATCAATCAACTTTCTTTCTTTTTTGTAGTCTTCGTAATTCTTTAAATATATGCACAAATTTGATAAATGATGGTAACTTGATGATAGTACGAATATTTCTTTGAATTATAACGAAAGAATAAATATTCATATATCTACTGAAATTTGAACTACTTTTCTTTTTGAGTATCAATGTTATTGAATTAACCATTTTTGCTTCTATTATCGATTTCTAAGAAATATTAATCAAACTATCTTTGAGTAATATAATTTTTTGATTTTGCTAGCGGCAAAATTGTAGATTGTTAACTCTTTTCATTGACTTACATTCACGTCTATCTCAGGAACACTATTGTCTTCTATTCAAAGAAAAAAAAAAGAAACATTATTTCAATGAACAAAAAAAATAAAAATTTGATCCTACCGTGATTAGGATTAATAGTATCATTTGTAGTAGTTGATAGTGTGTTTTTTTCAAGTTCTTGTGCTGAAGCTTCAAGTAGATGTCTATAATTGTTCTTAGAAATAATTTATTAATATAATAAAAATTTAACTACCGTCTACATAAAGCTTGCGATTTTCGAGGTACTTGACTAGTACATAATGGAATCGAACAAACAAACCGGATTTTTCCTGATGCATCTCGAACTGTTCGACTTGTTCTTGCAGCTTCTGGTGGCTAATAATCAAAATAAAATAAGTTAAAACAAAGAAGAAAAAAAAAATCAATAGTTAATCATAATTTACTTTTTCTGGTGATTCATATTCTTCTGAATGATCTTCATTTGTACTAGTTTGACTTGTTAATGTTGTAGTTGTAGTTGAAAATGGTGAACGAAAACGATTTTGTGTCTCATTAGACAATGATGAAGTTGAATAACGTTTATGATGTCCTTTCTTTTTTTTGTTATGTTGATCTTCATCTATACGATTGTTTGAGTGTCTATAAAAGTAAATTATTATTAAATTTAATATATTAGAATTATTTTCAAAAAAATAATTATTACGTTCGACAGAAAATGTCAGCTTGACGTTTAAGCATATTTGTACATGATTCACGCATACAAAGATATCGACGACGACCTGAACTATCACGAAAACTACGTATACCAGTTGTTTCATCGACATGAATTTCACGATTTGCCTAAACAATCGAAAAGAATTCAAGTCTTTATTTTTTTTTGTTTTCTTCATGTAAATAAATAAACAAACTAACCTTTGCTCTTTGTCGAGATGAAAGTGTATTAAAACCATTACTGGCATCATTATATTCATATTCAACGTTTGAATCTATACAAAACATATTAAAAAACTTCTCGAGTCAATATCTACATTGAAAAGATTAGTCACAAGTATGAAGATAATATTTTAATCTCGAGATCATCAAGCATAGAATGATTTTCAACAAGTGCTAAACAAGAAACAAAACAAGAAAAACTCAAGACTTCACTACTGAGAAGTACGAGTTAAGTAGAAGTCAGAGTTTTCTTTGCTTGAGATTCTATTTTCAAAATATATGCCAGTCTTGTTATACTGTAATTATATATAAGAATCTCACGTGATTAGTTAAATCAGCAAAGTAAGGATATACTAGTATATTCATACATTACAAGTTTATTTTCTATTATTTATAGAAAATAGATTGAACTATTTCGAAATTTTTTTCTAGATAGTATTTCTGATTAGTATCAATAATTATACTATTCTTTTAGCTTTTCAATTGATAAATAAAAATATAATTTTGCATAACATACTTCCGAAAAAAAAAAAAACATCATACGTACCATGAATTCCATTTCCATTTTGTTCATGATCATCAATCGAATCCAAAGTTGTACTTTGTTTCATCTTCAAAATATTCAAAATAAACAAAAAAAAAAGAGTTTCAATGTATTCCAACCTGTATCGGTGTTCCTTCATCAACCATTTCACCATTATCATTTGAACCATCTTCATCAACTATTTCACCATTATCATTTAAGTCATCTTCACCAACTAAAAACAATAAACTATATAATTATAAAATAATTAAATTCTATAAACCATTATCTGATTTTGTTGATATATCACCAATATCTTCATTTTCGGAATTTTTTACTTGTGAATGACTAATAATTAATATTAATATAGATCATTTATTTTATTGTAAACTTACACTCGACAAAAAAAATCAGCTTCACGAGTTAAACGTGAATCACAATCTGGTCTTGAGCATACATAATATCGTCGAGCAGGTCCTCGATTAGATGATCGAACTAAAAAATATCGTCGACCTGTAGTTTTCGATGTAATTATTGTACGTTTCATAGATGGCCTCATCTAAAATATAAACGTTTTTCAACCAACGTAAAACACCTTTCTTTTTTTTTTCTTTTTCGTTTTGCTTGATTCTTCAATATATATACAAAGCTGACAAGCTGTGTCATTTTCCACTCAATTGCATACGTTTTCTTTTTTTTTTTTTTTTACTAAACTACATTAATAAAAAGAAAAAGTACGAACAAGAAAAGTTAATTCTAACAATGAATTGTTCGACAACAACAGATATACAAAATCGTTATTTTTTAATCGGAAATTTCGGTGCTTTAGTTTTTATGATAATATATATTGGATTCTATGGAATGGGTATGATTGTTTATTTTACATGTCAATTTATGAATGAATCTCGAGATAATCATGAAAATGAAATTCCAGATGAATTTTTTTCAACATTTCATCATATTAATGAACGACAAGAAATATATAGTATGAATAGAAAAATAAAAAAAAAAAAGAATTAATTTTGAAAAAAATTAATCTCTATACTTTTTTCAGATCAACTAACTGATGAAAATCTAATTAAAAAACTATATAAAATCTATTATTCAAATGAACCAAATAATTCAAAATTCATTGAAGAAAAAGTAAATCAATGTTCAAAAAAATATCATCTAAAAATTCAAAATCTTAAATCAAGACATGCATATTATGTTATAGAAACTTTAACACCACCAACACTTACTACTATTTCATATACAAATTAACAAATGAATGAAACAAAAAAATGTCTTTTTTTTTCTTTTTTGATAAAATATTAAATACAGCAAAAAAAAAACAGAACAGTAATATTTATTAATCTGAGGAAAATCAAATCTGTAAAAGAAGATCTAATTAAGAACATTTATTTCTTGCAATTACTAGACAGAGTATATATACATACATCTGCTAATTACTTTCATTTGGAATACCAGTGAAAAATTTTTTTTTCGTTCATATGTATAAAGCAATAATAATGAACAAACTGAAAGTGTATACATTTTAACTATGCAATCGTCATATAGTCCAAATAACGGAAATGTATGATATAACTGTACATGGTAAGGTGGAGAGAAGGTCAAGGAAAGAGAAAAGTGCAGTCAAGCTTGCAGAATGATTATATCTTACTTACCATAGAGTGTAGGGTCACGTGAAGGTAAAAAAAATTTCTATAGTACGACAAGGTTATAAAAAGAGCTTACCCTACGCATTTCTAATGTATAAATAAGAGATTCTCATATTGATAAAACTTTTTTTTTGAGCTGCATAACCGATAATAATAAATTATCATAAAGATAGGGACGAATAATAATGAATAGAAATATTCTTTCAAATAAATTTATCTAACAATCGAATAATACAATGATATTTTATGAAAATCATTATCTAAAAATTTGTAAAAATATATTAATTTCATTCAGATAAAAAGAGAAATTTCTCAAAATGTTACACATTCAATTAATTACAATTACATAATTGCAACATATAATAATAATCGACATAAAACAAAAAACAAAAGCCAATCAAAATAAATTTGGATGTGCTTACTTTTTTTTCTTTCTTTTATTCTTTTTTTTATGAGCTACCAATTATTAATGCATTCTCAGCATGCTTTTTTTTTCTATTGTATTTTTTTTTCTAAAAGTAACCTATATACTGAATATAAAAAAAAAGAATGTATTTTGTCACGAAATGACACATTCATTTAAATTCATTTTACTTGCGTAATAGCGACATCTATCGACTAGCCTAAAATAACTTAAAAAAAAGAAGCATATACATGGCTTTCTATAGGTAGCAATAAAATTCTATGAATTATACTAAAGAATATTTGTCGGAGACTAGTTTGAACTAGTGGCGGAACCGGGAGGATCAGCTTCCCCTACGAATCGTTGAGCCTCCAGGAGGCTCAAAGGTCGGTAGGGGTCGAGTCCTCTCTAACTAGAAATCGTGGCTCCGCCACTAGTTTAGTCTAGTGGTGGCGTTAGAGAATGGCTTAACAACGTCTAGAAATAAGACAATCTGATGTTATAGGCAAAGAAAATAAATACTTTTCAAAATTCAAAGCAGTACTGAGCTTCTTCTACAACTTTTTTTTTCTGGCTCTTGTGTTACGTTAAACATTTCCATTAAATACAAAATCAAACACAATGTTTGTTGTGTTTTGTTTTTTCTTTTTTTTTTATTTGAAATTCAGAAACAATATAATAGCACTTTATACAGTAAAAGATACGAATGGACAAATGTATTTTTATTTTGTCGTGACAATCTTCGAATATAAAAAAAAACAAAAAAAAAAGAAAAGAAAGAAAATGAATAAACTGAAAGAATATTTTAGAACTGAAAATGTGCATTATTTTCATTATTATTATCAGGTACAGCTTGATTTGTATTCATATTTCCAAATGAAAATTCATTACTAGAATTTAGTAATGTTGGTGCTTGATTCATTGATGAAATATCTTCATCATCCTATGAAAAAAATAAAATTATTTAATTCGTTTTGTTACTATTTTTGTTTTTGACTTACAGCTTCATTTGAAAAGAATTTTTCAATTATTTCATATGATTGTTGATATATATCACCATTTGAATGTGTTTGTAAATTTTCAATTTTATCAAGACCTAATAATTTAAATAATCGAGAAAAAAAAAGAGATTTTAATTTTTTGTATTAAATACCTCCACATTCTTCAATTTCTGTTATAATAGCTTCAAGATTTTCTTCTGATGTTTGTTTAAGTATATTATGAATAGCATCAAGACACACTTGTAAGATTTGAGTATCTTGTTGTACTAATAAATTACTATAAAATAATCGATAATTTAAAATACGAAAAAAAATAAAATAAAACAATTATCTATTCAATATACCAAAGAGGAGGTATAACATGTTGTGTAACTATATACTGAATTTGTTGTTTTGAACCACTCATTGTTAAATTTGACATACACCAAGCAGCTTCTTTTTGTGTTTGAATTTCACTCTAATATAAATAATAATGATTTAGTTAAGAGAAAAAAAGAAAAATTTTTCTATACGAACATATTGTAAATGATGAATAACGTCGGGAATTAATTGTGCATCAATTACTGCTTGAACTTGTTGTTGATTACCAGCTGTTATATTTGATAGAAACCAAACAGCTTCCTTTAAATGAAAATATTAAATTAAACTAAAGAATATTTTCAATAAACTTCTTTTTTTTTTACTCAAAATATCGCAATATCATTTGAGTATTAAATATAAAGAATGATATTCGAAGAGTGAAGACAAAGATCTAGCTAAGAATAAACTGATTTTTAAGGACTAAGACTTTCATTTGATGTAATGATATGTTCAAAGATATTTCGAGAGGGTGACTAGAGTTCGACAGTTTCCAAAAGAAAAAATTTGGAACTGTTAAATCATCAAAAATTCTTAAATCTATGTCGAGAAATCTTCATTTATTCATTATTGAAATTAAAGATTTCAGTACAAAAATGGCCTAGTTTATTTCTCAGTTTCTGTTCAGTCAAATTGCTCGAAATTAATACCAAAATATCTGTCAGTCATGCCCTATTTATGCTGCTAAAATCAGGTTTCTATCTTTTATTGTTTACGAAAAATACTGAACATAAACTACTTATTTGTGTATTTTTATGATGGTTCTAGATTGGATGTTTTTCTTTCGGTCTTTTTTTTAACTTGAAACAAAAAATGTAAATAATGTTTGATTGATTTTCTTATATTATTTTTGAATGCTCTATCTATTCATAATCTTATTTTCTCTCCAGCTATTGTCATTTCACAGAAATTTGACATTCTATCAATGGTTCCTGCAAACAGGAAAAAAGTGTCCCATTCCATTTTAAGCTTAGTGTGAATCCAACAAAGACTTTAAACCAAATCTTTTTCCATAAAAAGATTCATCAATTTAAGCCTTATCGTTTGGTGAAAATCAAAACTTATTAACATTTTTTGTTTTTGAACAATTTACATCTTAGTGGTGTCAATTGGCATGTGACAGACAATTTGTTCCACCCCCCTTTTGCCTATCCTCTGATAAAACTGCAAGGAGTTAAGAGCTGATTTTTATTAACACAAGCGTCAATTGGCGAGTACAACTTATGTTGTAAACATCAAGGCTCTAACTTATTTCTGAAGAAAGTTATTAAAGAAATACAGTCAAATGTGCCATCCTCTGTTGCCTATCTTCTGATCAAACTACAAGAAATTAAGAGCTAATTTTTTTACCAGAAATGTCAACTGGTAAACACAACTTGTGTTGTAAATATCAAGGCCCTAGCTTGTTTCTAAGCATAAGAATTGAAAAATACAAAAATTTGCCTTTTTTCCCTGTTTATCCCACCCATGTTTGATCAAACTACAAAGAATCAAGAGCTGATTTTTTTTAACCACAAATATTAATTGATAAGTACAACTTATATTGCAAATATCAAGATTCTACCTCATTTCTGAACAAAGTTATTCGAAAAATATAACGATGTATTCTATTCTCTAGTTAGTACTACTCTTCTCCCTGACTAAAAATCTAAAAAAGAAATTGTCTCAAACTGATCATTTTTTGTGCTCCTTCTGGATACACGACTCGAAAGAAAATCTTCTGAAACTTGTAGGATTATGTTAATTTCTGAATGTCACTAGTTTTCATTCAAATAAAACAACAGACCCTATAATATGTTCCTATGAAACTTTCGGTCTCTAAATCAGATAAAATAAAAGACTGTTAATATGCAAAATGACTTTTTCTTATACTTCAAAATATTCTCTATCAGATGATGACACTTTTAAATGCAGTCGTTTACTGTTTTTTTCGATCACTTTTGCAAAAAAATGGTACAATAGATACCAGAATGACTCATATTTACAAGATTGTTTTGTTTAAGTACAAAATATGAAATACTGATTCCGGGTACTTTTTGAATTTGCCGCACTCTAGGAATAACTCCCCCAATCTTGGAAAATGTCTTGTTTTTTTTCCCAGCGAAATTGAACAATTTTCTTCATTTATCAGTCTACGCAACAAGAATCGATATTCTCACTGCTGTAATCTTGGTAATCTCGCGACATCCTTGGATATATTATCAAAAGATAGATCTGGTTGCAATAAACTTGATGAACTCAAAACAATTATCCTCTAATCGTTTGCTTCTGTAACGAAGTATAGATATCTAATATATTGATACTGATATAATTCTCTTACTGATGGCTTCATTTCTTCTTTCTTTCCTATTGTCTCTCTCTGTTGCACTCGTCTCTTGTGCATCAGTTTATATACTGTGTGTGCGCCTGTGATAATTACAAATAGAGATATGCAATAGGTTAATGTCCATCATCAGTAAAATAGACAATAATAGTGCAATGTCAGTTCTTCATATAGATATACATCTAGGGATATAATGAAAAAAAGCAGCATGTATCATTAGAAAAAACCTTGATCTATTATCGCCATTGTATATAATTCTTGACCAACTCAGAAAATATGAGATTATTAAACATTCTAATAATAGTTTTTGATTTGAATTTATTTTCTTTGTCTTTGGTTAATATTTATAAGATTATTATCTCATGTCTAGAAAATCAGAAATGTAAGAGACAACAACATCATAATTTCAAGACATGATGAAATCATTATCACCTACACTTCACGTTAGATTTATATTATCTTGCAAAATTTCTTTTTGCATTTCATTATTAAAAACAAAATTAATTATTATAAATCAT